GGGTTTCCCCCCGCCCCCCCAGCATTCCTTTGGGTAATTACTCCAGCAGGTTTTAGGTTTCCGCTTCCAACCACCAGTGGAACTGGAATCAGTACAGGCACTTGAACTGTCCTCGCCGTGCACCATTAGCAAGGGAAAACATTCAAACAACTGACATCAGACTGCATTTACAACCCTAACTCCATCTCCACGACCCTCCAAAGAGAAAAATCCACACCCTCAGTGCAGGACGGCGAGGATTTCGCTTCGCTTTTGCTTAAAGCTGCGGAAAGATACCGAGGAGCCATCTGAATCAAGCTTTTTGCTTGGGTTTTTTTTCTTTTTTCCATTTTTTCCCTTTTTTTCTTTTTTCCCCTTCCTCTTTTCCCTTTTCTCTTTTCTTTTCCCCTTCCCCCTTTTCCCCTTCGTCTTTTCCCTTCCCCTTTTCCCTTCCTTTCTTTTTCCCCTTTTTTCTCTTTAACTAAAATCTGATTTTGCCTGTAGCAGCATTTATAAGGAAATTTTTTAATTTTTTTTTTTTTTCCCTGCAGAGTTTTGACTGTCTCGCAAGACAAGACTTAACAGGAAGCGGTAAGCAAAGCCTCCAGCAAGCGCTTGCCTGATACCGGCATCACAACACTTTTTTCCCCCAACTCATGCAGTCATTTCAAGATAAAATTCCTTGTCAGGAAACAGATTAATTCAAAGGTAACAGAGAGGGATAAAAAGTGAAGAAGAAGTGATTTACGGCAAAAATACCTTCAGTCACGTGTTTCTCGACATATTTCACATCCAATCACACTTTAATTGAAAATAGGGGAAAAATAACTCTGTTTTTTTAAAATTTTTCTCCCTGAAAAGCTAATTTAGGGGAGCACAGTAAAGGAAAAAGTCAAGGTTTTGAAATATTTCCACCCCAGGAGTTTCTGGTGCGGGTTTTGGCAGAGGAGAGCAGCTGCTAATGGTTTCAGCCTGCCACAAGGAGTTTAATACACACACAAAAAAATTAAATCAGAAACAAGCTAATTTCATAGCACAGCACTTAAGCAGCGAACTGCTCCGTGTATAAGATTTACAAACACACGAGTTCTGCCCGGGAAAGCTCAAATACTTTTGCAGATGAAGGTGCAGCTTCTCGAAAGCCATCCTCTGAGCCGAAATTCTGATCTTTAACAGCTTTGGATCTTTGCGAAAGCTTCTCTCAGGCATCATTACGCAAGGGGCAAAATTTTCAAAATAAATGCCCATTCCTCTTGTAACTGAAATAAATGAGGGGGGAAAAAATACTGAACGTCACGGGGACGGGATGAGATCACTGCGTTTACTCAACCCAAGCGCTGAGGACGTGAAGTCAAATATTTTTCCAAAGGGTTTTCCACTTGTGGACTAATATAGACATGATCTAATAACTTCTTTCCAGGAAAATCATGACCTAATATGCACCAGGGCGGGGGGGGGGGGAGGGGAATAATTTGATTAAAATGCAAAATGAAGCATAAACCCACCTGCATCTGCAGCACTCGGGGTTAAAAGTAACTTAATTACGGCAGGGGGAGAAAACAAACAAAGGAAGAGGAGAGCGGGG